ATGGGTGAAGCGCATGCAGTGCTCGCCGGACCCAGGGCGACGGAACCTTGGTCCACCAGCGCGGCCATTCGTGTCAGGGTTGGACTGTTCGGAGGTTGTCGGCTAATAATTTTCTGCCTTGGCGTACTTTCGCCAAGTGCACCTATGCACACACGATCACTCAGTCATTGAGCTATCCACATAGCGCTCCCCCAACTGAGGCACCCACCTAACTACGCCCTTCACCCCATCCACCCAAACAGGCCCTCATCCGTGAACGTGGGCGCGCGAGTGTGCGTGTGCGGGCGAGCAGCTGCATGCAGTGCTTGCGCATATGTATGTATGTATGCGCATGGGCACGCGTGTGAATGTGTTTGTGTGTGTGTGCGTGTGTGTGTGTGTGTGTGTATGTGTGCGTGTGTGTGTGTGTGTGTGTGTGTGTGCGTTTGTGTGTGTGTGTGTGTGTGTGTGTCCGGACCTCGGCCCCTCGGCTGGCCGGCACCTCTCTCGCCCGTCTGCTGGGACTGCTTCCCCAGCACCCCCGACCCCTCACCTGAGGTGGTCTGCTCCGGCTGCCCCCTCTCGGTTGCGTGGAGGTCATTCGGATCTCGGCACCTCGGTCGCCTCGCTGTGCTGCTTCCGACTCCAGCTCGCGCTGGACCTGCCGCACCCCCCCCCCTCGGCGCGTGCCCGGCAGCCTTCTGGCTGCTTACCCCCCAGCTGCTGCCCCGCCGCCGCTGCTGGACCCCGACCCCGGCGCCCGCCCTGCCGCCGCCTGGCCCTGCTCTGAGCGGGCCCGGCTTCCGTCTTCTTCCCGCCCGCGCCGGGCTCTTCTTTTCCTCCCCCGCGCATCGCGGCTTCATTCGTGTTTCGTGTGCCCCAGTAGTGCTACATCGCCAGCGCAGTCACTCTGCCTGGCCGCCGACGCCAAAATTGTGTGTGTGTGTGTGTGTGCGTGTGTGTGTGTGTGTGTGTGTGTGTGTGTGCGCGTGTGTGTGTGTGTGTGTGTGTGTATGTCTGTAGTCCCTCTGGCTCAAGGCCTCTTTGGCTCATGCAGTCTCTCTGGGGGGCCTCCTTCCCCTGGGTCAGGACTCGAGGTTGGTCGGCGCGGCCCGGCGGCGCGACGGGGCCGCGCGCCTCGGCCGCCGCTGCCGCCCCGCCATGTCTGCCCTGAAGTCCCCAGCCGCGCTGCGTCGGCGACAGTCGCGCGCAGCGGTGGCATGCCGTTGCTGCGGGCGTGCCGCTCCTTGCTGGCCCGCCAGGGATCCTTGGCGCCGCTGGCGCGACGGACGTCGCAGCTCTCCGTGGCGTGGGCGCTGGTGCCGGTCGCGGCCGGCGTTGCCGACGCCTTTGGGGCGGTCGGCGCGGCTGGCGCGGGTCAGCCGCCCACCTCGGCTGGTATTGCGGGCGCCGCCGACGCTTCTGGACAGGTCAGCGCTGTCCGCGCCCTCTGGTGCGACCCCGCTCCCTGCGCTGCTGTCGCTGCCGATGCCGCCGACGCCGCCGGCGTTGGCTGTGTATGAGGACCGCTCATTTCCCCTTTCTATCCATCTACGTAGCTATCCAGAACGCCCTCGTTCCGACGGGCTCATGGACAACAGTGTCTCAGTTTTTCTCCCTATCGTCCTCTACGTACGGACCCCGCGGTAGGTTCGACTCATTGGTCGTCAACCTCCCTTCGCAGGTTTTTTGTCATTTCTACTTCGCTCTTCGTTGTGAAGCCCCACGCCGACTTCGAGCCTTGCGCATGGCGCTGGCACCTACGGGGGCCAGCGCCTCTATGCGTGGTGGCTTTTCGACGGTGCGTGGGCTTCGCGACGACGCGGAGAGGGCAATGGGACAGGGGGTGATACCGCAATCCCCCCTACCAGGAGAAGGAAGCGCCGATGCCCGCCTTGGAGCCGCGCTCCGGCGTGCACAGCAGGCAAACATAGACACTTTTCATTCTTCCGTGCTTGCGCAATCGTACACCCCAGGGCTTGGACCCAGCTTCCACTCGAATGTTCGGTCACCTGGAGCCAACATTAGTCCAAGTCCTCGTCGATGGAAACATCTACGATTTCCTCCTCCAATCTCTTCGCCTCGCCGGTGGGAACACCCGCGGTGGCGCGAACGAATCGTCTCCTCCGAACGCTTCCGCGCGACGTTGCCGCTGGGACACCAGAAGTCCTTCGAGCCCCGCATCGGTTCCCGTGTCTGAACACGTGCGAACCATCGAGGACCGTGCTGGAACGACCTCGCAGCGAAGAGCCCCCCGATCGTTACCATCTCCAGTCTAAACATAGGGACACTAGCCGCAGCCCCTCACAGATGCGCTCGCGGCAGAATTCTCCGCGGCGCGACATGGCGCCACATGCATCGCCCTCCGCAAATGAGTTGGCAGAGCTCAGAGTCCAGGTTGAGACTTGCACAACTCAGCAGTTATCGGGTCTTACAGCCACAGTCGTTGGTAATGCGAGACAGCAAATTTGAGGCGAGAGATCCAGAATGCTCTTGCCTTGGGCGACGCTCGGATCGCCGAGGACTGATCGACCCTGAATGAGGTCCAGTATCAAGTTGACCGTGTGGAGTCACACCGAGGTGCAGACTCAACTGCCATCCAGACGCTCCGCGACCACCTCCTCGCCATAAAGGCGCAGCTCGAAAGCGCCAGGGATGCAGGCGATGCCGCTGTCGGGGCCCTGCGCGCCGAGGTCCCGACATTTCGGCAGCTTCCTGCCGCCGAGGTACATGGGATTGCGGTTCAGCAGCTCCGTGATGACTTCGTTGCGCGTCGTGATCACCTCGATGTGACCACTGCCAACCTCCAATCCGCGGAGGCCACCGCCGCGTCCGAGTTGCGCGGCAGGCTGCGTGCTGCCGAGGTGGCCATTGCCCAGCGGCTCGGTGCGTCCGCGGGGCGCGCGCCAGCGCTTAGGAACCGAGCCTCCGCGGTCGAGCGGCGCTTGCCTGATGTGCAGGCTGCGCCGGCTGAGTTGCATGATGTGCGGGCCCAGCATGCGCTGCTGGGCGCCCCGACTTCGGCCCGCGATTTCGCCCGTCTCGCCGCCGAGAGATGGGGGGGGCAAGGGGGGCGGCGGGCCACGTGCAGTTGCGACTCGCCCAGATCTCCCGCGACAGAGACGCTGGAGAAAAGGCATGGGCCGAGGCGTTGCTCGCCGGTTTGGAACTAGAGCGCGAAGCGCGCAGCCCGCGATCCCAGGGCTATGAGCATCGGCTGGACTGGCGCCCCCAGTGAATGATTACACCACTGACGAGATACGCGGTCTAGGACAGAGTGTCGAGCAATTGGTTGCGATCTCGCGACCGCAGAAGCCGCCTCGACGGCTTGCGTTAGCGACGCCAAGATCCATGTCCTTTCCGACCTCCAGGACCCACCCCCGACAGTGGCCCAACCCTCGCCGATGGAGGCGTCCGCGCAGGACAACCGCGGCGCGCGTCGCCAGGAGCTGCCTCCTTCTGCGGCAGCCTCGACGCAGACGCGTCGCGTATCTCTGGTGCGCGCACCATCGCCGGCGCCGCCAATGCCGTCGCATTATCTTTCGCAATATTCTCTTGGTGGCACTAGCCCGATTCAGGCATCAGATGCCGTTCGCATTCCTCGGCCGCCGCGCGCTGCCCAGTTGCGAGAGTGGCAGCAGGTGGCCAGGGGCAACAGAGGCAGCGCGTCAGGACGTCCTGCAAAGGCATGCGCTTTTCTCTGCGTTGCTGAACGCCTTGATGCTACATTTGAGGGGCTTCAAGACGGCGGCGACTTCGAGAGCTTGGATTGCAAGCTTGCCGCTGGACAAACGGCTGTTCTTACTACTGAGCTCCGTTGTTGCATGTAGAACTGCGCAGCTCAGAAAACAAAGCCGGCCGCGTGCTGAAAGGCATACAGATCTATTGGTTTATCTTGCAATCCTTCAAGGTCACCAAAGTAGACCACGCCATGCGCGTCTCCAGCTAATCCGCATGCGAGACGACGACATCCGACTTCTTGTCGTGGACTGGGACAATTTACTCATGGAGTGCCGTGATCCACCGGGAACGAAGATTCTCGAGTCACTCTCCCGAGCTCCGATCCGTCGACACCCATTTATGAAGCAAAACGTGCGCGACTACGACAAGATGAAAAACGGACGACTCCAATTGCGCGTGTGATTGGCCACGAGAACGTGTTGTGGCCAACGTCGAGATGCGCGGACTAGAACGTAACCAGCGCAACCTCAAGAACGAGACGGGGTCGTCACGAACTGGCCGCATGCGCCGCATGCAAGGCAGGCCGTTGCAGAAACGGCGAACGGTGCGCGCTGCTGCGGGCTGGCCCAGGCAACCGTTCCATGCCGCGACCTGCTCGGCGCGCGTCGCAGGCCATCGCGGATGCCTGCGAGAAACGACCCTCCACGGGGCGAGGCGCGCGACGGCCGCCCGCAGTCGGAGGTTCCAAGAACTTCTGTTTCTCCCCCGCAAAACACGGCGCCTGCCCGCGACGAGACCGGTGCAGATGGCCTTGCGTTGCAAAGTGCGGCTTCTTTGCTAGCCCAGGCGAACGCTGCAAGCTGGGCAACAGCTGCCGCAGCGCCCGCGTTGCGTCTGGCACCGAGGCCCCAGGGGGGGGCCTTAGCCGCGCCTGCAGTCAGGAAGGCCGCAACACGACGTCCTCCTCCGGACGTGCAGGGGGCAATCTATGCTGCCCGCGCGGGGGGGGGCCAGGGCTCGCGGAGTCGGTGGGGCCGCGGGCGGTCCCCGCAAAGATCCCGCTCTCCTCCGCGGGGCGGCGGCCGCGGACGCAGTCGAGGGCGTTCGCCAAGCAGCAGCAGCAGCGGCGGGCGGCCGCTCTCGACGTGCTACAGGCGCCGCTGGGAGCAACGCAACTTGGCCAACGACGAGACCGAACATGCGTGATTCGTAAAAAAACCTTGGTGGCCGCAGCTGCGCGCGCCGCCGCGGGGCCGCGACGCCGCCTGCGCTTCGACCTCGACGACGTCGACGTCGTCACCTGCCCTGTGCTCAAGCGGCAACCTGCCAAAAGGTACGCCGACGTCAACGAGGGTGACCCCGTTGTCGCGCCCGAC